ACCCCAATCGGAGGATGTCCCTCCGGGAGGACTTTGTAGAACTTCTTCTGAAGAGGAGAGCAGATCTGCCCACGAAAAGTCATGAGGTGATGGCTGTGGAAAGAAAGCACCAGGAGATTAAGAACCATTGAGAAGATGGCCCAAAAGTTGATCTGGAGAACTTATTTCATCCCCATCCTGAAGGAGAAAACTCAAAAACTGTCCTGTTGCTTGGACCTTCTGGAGTAGGTAAAACCACAGCCACGTGGAAATTCATGTTGGACTGGGCATCCGATAAACTATGGCCAAACAAGTTTAAGTATGCCTTTTATATCTCTTGCAACGCCCTCCGATGTGGCACCAAGCTTATGAATGCAGCCTCAACAGCCGTCCTCCAGAAATGGTTTCCATGGAGGACATTTTGGCCAACCAAGACAACCTCCTCATCATCATTGATGGTCTTGAGGACTTGAAGCTCTCTGATGTCCCAACTGATATGCTGGACAAGGATCCCCATCGAAAGCAAGAGGTGGTGAACCTGTTGATGGGTCCACTCAAGAAAAAGATCCTCCCAAGTGTCATCTCCTGGTGACCACAAGGCCCATGGGTGGGAGCCTGCTGTTGAAGTGTCTGAGATCACCACTCCTGGTAGACGTGTTGGGCTTTGACCCTCTTCAGAGGAAGGAATGTTTCCGCCACATCTTTCAAAATACGGAACAAGCCAACCAGATCTTTGAACTGATCCAAAGAAATGAAACTCTTTTCAGGATGTGCTTCCTCCCCGCAACCTGTTGGGTCATTGGTTCCATTTTCCAACAAAACCCACAGGCAGAACTCCTTCAAGATATCCCTGAAACTGCAACACTCACCAAAATTCACCTGCGTCTCCTCGAGTTTTTTGGGTACCAATTCCAGGCCAAGTCACCTGGAAGAGCTGTGCTCTTTAGCAAAAGATGGAATACTCCACAGAACGTTGGTCTTCCATGAAGAAGATGTTCAGGTGGAAACCTTGACAGATTCACTCACCTGAGTTTCCAGGAATTCTTTGCAGCCTTGTTCTACCTGCTGGACACTGAGGAGACCACTGGGGCACCTTACCGAGACCTGAGTGAGGTATTTGGAGATCAGAAGGAGCGCACCAGCAGGTACCTCGTGTTGATCCGTTTTCTCTACGGCTTGTGCAACGTGGAAAGGATGAGTGTCCTTCAAGAATTGTGGTCCTTCAAACTATCCAGGACTAAAGTTTGGCCAGAATTGCTAAGGTGGGTGGATCAGGAAGCCAAAACTCACCCCTTTAAAGGGGTAGAGGTTCTGCTGGAATTGTGTCATTGTATTTATGGCATGAAGGACGCCGTCTTTGCCCAGAGAGCAATAAAGGACATCCACGATTTGGATCTCAGAACACAACTTTTGATCAGGCTGGACCTTAAAACTTTCTCATTTTGCCTGTCAGTTGCTGAAACTTTGAATTCGGTCCGTCTCTCTGGCTATGAGTTTGGACCACAAAGATTCCAACAACTTTTGCCAGGATTTCTGAAATCTTCAGAGATCCAGTAAGGAGGGACAGTTGAATTGGCCATGGGTTCAAAATATATATCATTTGTTTGTCCTGGATCGCAATCAATACCGATAGTCTCTTAGCAGGGGTGGCTGTCAGACTTCTGAAAGATGCCCTAATTGATTCATGAGCCTCAAGCCAAGTTTCAAAAGCAAAACAGTCGTTTATTAGGAGCACCATTTCAGCAATACCCCATTGCAGTCAAATCTAACCTCATTTGAATTATAACTGAACTTTACCCCTTTCCTTCCTTCCCCTCAATCTGTGTCATAAATCACATTCTCCAATGAGGTGCACCCCTCCAAAGCCTGCTGTAGTAATCTGAGATCCTACTCTAGCTGAAGGTATGAGTGGAATGCGCTCCCCACTTTCCTCACCATGCAACGTAATGAGTTGACAGTGGGATTGAAAATTTTTAGCAACTGGTTGTCTGCCAGCTTGCTGGTTGGGTGTGGCCATGGGTGGCGTGGCCTACTCAGTCCCTGCACCATGAGGGGGCATTTTCACCCTCCCCAGGTTCCGGAGGCTCAAGGAAAGCCTTGAGCCTCCCCTGGTCTGGAGGATTTCCGGAAGCCGGAAATAGGCCCATTTCCAAACTTCCGGAACTTCCAGGAGGCCTGTATTTTGCCCTTCCCGAGCCTCCGCATGGGCCCTGCACTTACCTGGCATGATGAACGGGCCATGTGGAGACTCTTAGGAGGGGGAGGGAGGGGCCAGCCACTCCTTCCAACTACCGGTTCATCCAACCAGATGAAATTAGCATCCAGCTCGCCCGAACAGGCTGAATCCCATCCCTCTTTCTGACTTACAACAGTTCATTTAGTGACTGTTCGAAGTTACAAGGGCACTGAAAAAAGTGACTTAGGACTGTTTTTCATCCTTACGACCATTGCAGCATCCCCAGGGTCACGTGATAAAACTTTACACGTTTGGCAACTGTCTCATGTTTATGACTATTGCAGTGTCCTGGGGGCGGGGTGTCACACGATACCTTTTTGCGACCTCCTGACAGGCAATGGGGAAGCTGGATTCGCTTAACAACCGTGGGAGTTGAAACCCACCCGTCTTCGAAGTGGACAAGGTTGAAAAACCGTGACCCGATGGTTGATCGTCAGAGTATGAAAACGAGGCAATAACAGAATCAAAGAGTTGGAAGGGACCTTGGAGGTCTTCTAGTCCAATTCCCTGCTCAGGCAGGAAACCTTACACCCGTGATGGTGAACCTATGGCATGGATGCTACAGGTGGCACACACAGCCATTTGTCAGGGCACACAGGCACACTGGCCAGCTGACTTCAGCCTTCTTTTGAGGCCATTTTTCGCCCTCCGGAGGCTTCCCTGAAGCCCCCAAAGCACGAAAAACCAGCCCTACAGGCAAATCGGACATTCAAGAACTATACTCCTATTTAAATAGGAGCCAGCCATGTGCAGCAGCTGCCAAAAAAGCCAACACAGTTCTAGGCTGCATCAACAGAGGGAGAGAATCAAGACCACGTGAAGTGTTGATACCACTTTATAAGGCCTTGGTAAGGCCACANAAGAAAGAAAGAAAGAAAGAAAGAAAGAAAGAAAGAAAGAAAGGAAAAGAACTTTGGGGTACTTGATGTGATCTGAGCTTGGTGGTTTTCTTGCAGACGTTTCATGACCCAACTAAGGAACGTCATCAGTGCTAGAAGGGAGCGGCGTTTGCTCTATGTTTATATATATATAGTTCCTTCTAGCACTGATGATGTTACCTAGTTTGGGCAATGAAATGTCAGCAAGAAAACCACCAAGCTCAGATCACATCAAGTACCCCAAAGTTCTTTTCCTTTCTTTCTTTCTTTCTTTCTTTCTTTCTCTTTCTTTCTCTTTCTTTCTTTCTTCCCTCCTTCCTTTTCCTCCCTCCCTCTTTCTTTCTTTTTCTTTCTTTCTCCCTCCTTCCTCATTCCTTCCTTTTCCATCCTCCTCCCCAGTTTCCTCCCTCCCCTTTTCCTCCCTTCCTTCTCCTCCCTCCCCCTTTCTTTCTTTTTCTTTCTCTTCCTATTCCTTCCTTTTCCTTCCTCTTCCTCTCTCCCCTTTTCACTCCTTCCTTCTTCTTCCTCCCTCCCTTTCTTTCTTTCTTTTTTCTTTCTTCCTATTCCTTCCTCCTTCCCAGTTTCCCCCCTCCCCTTTTCCTTCCTTCTTCTCCCTCCCTCTTTCTTTTCTTTCTTTCTTTCTTTTTTCTTTCTTTCCTCCTATTCCTTCCTCCCTCCGTTTCCTCCCTCCCCTTTTCATTCCTTCTTCTCCCTCCCTCTTTCTTTCTTTTTTCTTTCTTCCTATTCCTTCCTCCTTCCCAGTTTCCTCCCTCCCCTTTTTCCTTCCTTCCTTCTCCTCCTTCCCTCTTTTTATTTCTTTCTTCCTATTCCTTCCTTTCCCTTCCTCCTTCGAACCGCTGATTGACAAGCTCAGCGTCTCAGCCACCGAGCCGCCGCGTCCCTTTGCAAATCAATAGTAAATCCTTTTCCAACCGGTTGACAGGCGAATGCTTGGGATAGGCCCAGTTTTTTCTCTCAGCCCCCTGCAGATGGCTTAATTTTTCTCTTTGGAGTCTCTACAGCGTTGCAAAATAATTAATCAATGTTTTCTTCTTGCAACGGCAAACGAGAGGCACCGCGCCATGCCGGCCAACGCTGCCAGATGAAGCTTGCTTACAGCAGCTCGTGCAAACCCGGTTATATTTATAAATGTTCCACTTTCCTCCCCTCCGCTCGCTAGTAAAACAAGGAACACCAACATAGGGGTGGGGGGGAGAGAGAGAGACGGATGGAGACGAGGCTGCAATCTCTTGGCTGCAACCAGCTGGACGAGCCACACAGCTGAGAGAAATGACCACTTGGAGGATGGAGAACAGGGGTAGGTTGGAAGGGCCCTTGTAGGTCATCTAGTCCAACCCCCCGCCCAGACAGGAGACCCTACACCATTTCTGACAGAGGGCAGCCCAGTCTCTTCTTGAAAGCCTCCAGGGATGAAGCTCCCACAACTTCCGAAGGCAACTTCTCTTCCACGGGTTGATTGTTCTCACTGTCAGGAAATGTCTCCTTAATTAGATTGAATCTCTCCTTGATTAGTTTCCATCCATTGCTTCTTGTCCTACCCTCAGGTGTCTTGGAGAATAGCTTGACTGCCTCTTCTTTGTGGCAACCCCTGAGATATTGGAAGACTGCTATCATGTCTCCCTTAGTCCTTCTTTTCATTAAACCAGACATCCCCAGTTCCTGCAACCGTTCTTCATATGTTTTAGCCTCCAGTCCCCTAATCCTCTTTCTTGCTCTTCTCTGCACTATTTAGAATAGAATAGAATAGAATAGAATAGAATAGAATAGAATAGA